TGCTCTAGTTAAACCATAGCACATAAATTGATAGCACAAAGAAGTCCCATATGCCCTTTATCTAAATACACCAGTCATATATATGTATAATTTACTCTGTCTTCCCTCTTTTTTCTGTGTATGTAATGTATTTGGAAGGCGATTGTAAATTGCAAAGATGATGCTTCTTTATCTCTAAATCCTTAGTATATATTTTCTAAGATCAAATACTTTTTATTCCATAAGTACAGTACCATTATCAAAATCATAAAATTTAACATTGATATAATACTGTTATTTACCTGAGTGTCTGTATTGGAATTTTGGCCATAGTCCTGATAATGTTACTTATAGTTATTTTCCCCTCATAGCTTGGGATCCAATGCAAGATTATGCTTTGCCTTTACTTGTCACGTCTCCTTAGTCTGCTTTAATCTAAAACATTTAATCAGCATTTCTTTGTCATTCTTGATCTTGGGGTGTTTTGAAGTACATTTCAATATTTTGTATTATGCCACAGTTTGGGCATGTCCAATACTTCAAGATTAATTAAAGTTTGCAATTTTCAAAATCCTTCTCAATTCACTATATTTGGAGATATATGATTTTGGTTTGTTCCATTACTGCTAATATTAATTTTGATACCTAGTTAAGGTTATATCCACTAAGTTTCTCTACCATGAAGTTAATAGTTTTTTAAAAGTTAATAAATAATTTGTAGGGAGACATTTTGAGACTAGGTAAATATCTCTTTGTTCCTCATTCACCTAATAGTTTGGTAGCTACTGGTAAGATTTTTCTGGCCAGGCTCGGTGACTCAGCCTGTAATCCCAGTATTTTGAGAGGCTGAGGTGAATGGATTGTCTGAGCCCTCAGGTATGAGACCAGCCTGGGCAACTTGGCGAGACCTGTCTCTGCAATAAAACAAAAATTAACTAGGTGTGGTGCACATGCCTGTAGTTCTGGCTACTTGGAAGGCTGAGGTGGAAAGATCACGGGAATCTAGCAGGTCAATGCTGGGGTGGCTGTGAGCGTGCCACTGCACTTCAGCCTGGGTGACAAGTGAGACTCCAACTCAAAAAAAAAAAAAGAGATTTTTCTGAATTAGTTACTAATTTGATTGTTGCAAAAATGGTAGATTCTCTAACTCCATCATTCCTTCCACAGTTTTTAGTTGGCATTCTTAGAAACAGTTTCCTCTTTTCATTTACTCAATTGTTTGTTTACCAAAATGAACTCATAGATTCTTATTTTTTTCTTTATTCTTAGTGTTTTCTAAAGTAACATTTACTAAGATATACTTCAGATACAGAAAAAATTCACTATTTAAAATTTTCCTCTTACAATTTTCCTTGTGTTCTTTTGTAGTCAGTCTCTAGCCCCCAATCCTACTGATCTCATTTCTCTTCCTATTCTAATTTCAATTTCTGATTGTTTGTTACAAGTATAAAAAGTAAAATTAATATTTTTGTTTATTAACCATGTAGCCTAACGTTCTGCTACACTTGCTAATTACTTCGAGGGGGTTTTTTAATTTTTATTTTTTTGTGGATTCTGTAGAATCATGTCATCTGTAAGAAAGTTTTACATCTTTATTTCTAATTTATATGCATTTAATTTCTTTTTCTTATCTTGTTGCTTGGGCTAGAACCTTTGGTAAAATGTTGAATTAAAGTGGTATGAGTGGATATCCTTGTTTTGTGCCTATTTTAGGAGAATAACATTTAGTATTTCAGTATTAAGTACAATGTGAGTTGTAAAATTTTGTAAGTATTCTTAATTATGTTGAGAATGTCTCTATTTCCAGTTTCCTAAAGTTTATTTCTTTTATACTCATGAATGCACATTAGAAATCTGTCAAATTGTTTTTCTGCCTTTATTGAGATGATGACATGCTTTTTGATTGTTTCATTTTAGTCTGTTAATCTGATGATTTACACTGATTGATTTTCTAATGTTGGATTACCTTTATATTTCTGGGATAAAACACACTCGATAATGATATATTATCCTTTTACTATATTGTTGGATTAGCTTGTTAAAATTTTGCTAAGAATTTTTTGAAATTTCTGTTTGAGGGATAATCTGTCTGTAGTTATCTTTTTATGTAATACCCTTGTCTGACTTTGTTACTAGGGTAATACTGACAACATCAGCATCTAATACTAACTGAGCATTTCACATCTACTAGTCACTAAGTAATTTAAATATATCTTTAATCTTTTATTTGGACATAATTTCAGTCTTCACCAAACAATTGCAAGAATAGTACAAAATATTCTTATATATGGCATCTCTCAAGTAAGCCAGGCCCTGAATGTGGGAGGAGACCAGGAGGTAAGAACCAGTTCAACAGGAAGAAAAAGCTGCCAGATCTAATATTTCCTAAAATATATATTTCATAGCAGCAATTCTGCAAAATGTTTCAAAATAAAGGGATGTTACTCTCATGTAATATATTTTTTAATACTGCATGGTATATCCTTATCCTGAGAAGAGAAATTGCATATTGGCTAGGCTATGATAAATCCTATAGTAAATAAATCTATTTTACTAATCAATTTGTGTTCTAATCAATTGTGTTTCAAATAAGAACAAAATTTATCAGAATGCTTAGCTTTGCTAATAGTATTTCTCCTACAACATTGCATAGAAATCAGTATAATGAGGCAAAATTATTGTCTTTTGTAAAGCGTGGATACTTAAGATTGTCACATGTAGGAAAATTGATTATATATGCTATTAGAAATTTTCTTTGGCTGCTTCTAAATTTTTTGTTATCTATTCTTTTATTTTAGTGTTTAATTTGTCAAGAATTCTGGTCCTATAAGGCTCAATAAGTGTAACAAAAAATCAAAGAATCTTATGCCAAATCTATGCATTGTTTATTGTTTTTAACTAATTTTTATTTTTTTATCTGAATAATTATGCTTTCTGGAGGGCTTTATAGTCTAAACTCAATAAAAATATGAATCATCAATATAGTCCAATGAGATAAATTGCAACCTCATAACTGATTTTGAATAACACATTTTAAAATAGCATAATTGATATCATAAGTGGTCCCTCCCCTCTTTCCTCTTATAAAGTTATTTGCTTACTTTGTACTAGCTTCAGTATGACTATAGAGTGATTTAACAGAATAAAAAATTACAAACTGATAAGTTCTGTTACAATAAAAGAAAGGTATTCTAAAGAGCCTTTCAATAAAGATATGTCTTTTTTTCTAATTATAAAAGTAGTGTGTGTTATTGTAAGTAATTTAAACAATAGATACATACATTTATAAATATATTATAATACCTAGTCAACAGTTTGGAATCCTTTGGAATATATATATGTATATGTATATTTATATATATATGTATATATATAAATATATATATATGTATATGTATATTTATATATATATAAATATATGTATATATTTGGAATATATAATATATGAAAATATGAATCATCAATATAGTCTAATGAGATGCAATGGCAACCTCATAACTGAGGTTATATATATATACATATATATACATTATATATATACACACATACATAAACATGTATCTTTTTATATATATACACATATATATACTCAGACATAAGTAAATGCATTATAGTGATAAAATTAATTCTAAAAATAATAGATTATAAAAAAAGAGGTCTGAAAAACTGGGCCTCTGTCTATACTCTGTGGCCCATTTTTCTGAAACTCTGAATGGCAGTTGCCATTTTGACATGTTTTTCATTTTCCTTTGGCAACAAAACCCCAATTTTGTTGGCCTTAGGCAATTTGACAGGTGTCCATGAAAACCTCCCCCCCAAAATTTCCTATAGCATTTCTAACTGCTTCAAGTTGTTGGGACATTTCTACTTAGTCTAGCTATTTTCTAAACTTTATTTTGATAACCCATCTCATTAAAAAGTACTACAGAGGCCTCATGTTTATTTATTACTTGAACATTGCTCCTGAAGTCATAATTGAAATCTCTGAATGCACTCACTAATATATTTCATAACAAACATATATCTACAGGCATTTTTGTGTTCTGATAATGTCTCCATGTGCTCAGCAATCTATAGTCAATGAAAAGTTTTTTTCCTGACAAATTTCAAATATCTGTGGAGCTATCTAATGTTCAGGCATGGACCTCCTAGACAATCTTGTTATATTTCCCGATTATATAAGTCTATGGAATGTGTAACATTCCATAGATCTGCCACTGTTTTATTTATTCAATCATTATGAGAATAGCTATTGAGACCTACAGTGTGCCAGGCATAATTCTAGGTTCTGGAGTTTTAATGATGAATAAGGGTTAGGAGTGGGGTTAGGGTTAGGGTTATTTGAGTTTGTGAAAGTATTGTCCAGAACACTTATATTAGACTATTGTAGCATATAAAATATTTGTATGTTTTTAAATGCATGTGGAAAATCTGCTTGTTAAATGCAGATTCCTGTGCTTCCTCTCAAATACTCTGTTTCCATAGGGCTCAGGACTGTAAACGAGTGCATTTAAAGCACTCAAGCACACCAGCACCTAAGACTTCTGATATTGAGACTCTGGAATGGCGATTGAGAGTTGGAGCTTGTTGCCAGGTGAATCCAGGTAGGGCAGAAGGACCCCGCCTAGGGTTGTCAGGAAACAAGGCAGGCATGTAGTCTCCTGGTGGGATAATATACAGAAGCAACCCACACATAGTAAGTACTCAAAAAGGATTAATTTTTTCCATCATGTCTTAAGGAAAACACAACAGCTGAGCACACCCAAGGGTTGCTTATTCTCTGCTTATCAGATTAGTTTATTTTACTTTGTTTCTGTGTGAGTTAACTCATGGGAAGATAACTGAATTCTCTCCAGAAAGGGAAGATCCTTCCTAGTTTAATTCATACTTTGATTTACTTATTTTTCAATTAGACTCAGGTATTGATAAAAATTCAAAGCCAGAGTATGGAGGTGTGTGAGATTTTTCTTCCCACGTTACACAATTTAAGTCTCCTGTTTGCAGATCAAAACTCTAGAAGCCTCCATCACCACATTTCCTGTTTGTAACTGAACAAAGTACACACAAAAGACTTTAAGAAACAGAAGAGAAAAAAACCCTGAGGCACCGATAAAGATAAGTTTTACCATCATGCTGCTTCTGACACAACAGAACAACATTATTTAGAAAAAAAGTTTGTGGGAGCATTTTAATCCATACATTTGTTTTATGGCTATATAAGGATTTCTCTGACAAAAGAAGCATGTCAGGTAAGTGGCATCTTTAGTTCTTTTGTTCTATTCCTATGCCTAAAAATTCACTTAATAATTTCTAAATCCTAAAAAAAGACCCTTAATATTTAAAAAGTAACTAGTTAACACTACCATTTTTAAAATGAGAGATGACTTTTAGTGTAATCAGAATATATTTTGAAATATATTCATGAATATACATTGACTCTTTTCTCCTGAAAGAAAAAATATGTGGCAGTGTTTTATAATATAAAGCTGTTGTCTCTTTTCAGTAAGTGTTCATTGATAGTCATGTCATTTGAAGTACTTGTTATTTTTAAGGGAGCTTTTGTTGACCATGCATATTTCTCTTTAGTTTAGTTTAGATATGAAGCAGGATAGGTGCAATTCTAATTCTACATTCTAATCCCTCAAAGATTAAGCACTATAGTATCTTCCCAGCAGTCAATCCAATTGTCAACATTCAGAAAGATGACAATTGGGAAAATGCCGGTGAAAATTCAACAAATTGTGCAGTGGATTGTGAGGGTTGGATCCATCCTGATTCTTTGTTGTGAATCCACCTTGTTGGTACATCCTCTTGGATTCTTTTATGTACTTTTTTCCCTTAAATAAACATCTTTTGAATGTAAGGGAAAACATGCATATTTTATGCAAAGTGGGAGAACTGTGAAATATATATATAAATCTTACATATTTTCTATCACCTTAAAAAATATACAATATTATGTTGTATTTCCTTCCCATACATTCTGCATAGTTTGTTCTTCATAACTGAAATAATAATCTACATATGCGACTTTTTTTATTAAGATTATAACAAAACAATTTCCCTTTTTATTATAACTTCTGCCTAGTCATTTAAGATGAATGCACAAAAAAATGACATCTGTTGGGTTAATCATGGCTTACTCAGTCATTTGTTTACTGTTGGACATTTATGTTGTACCTAGTTTTATCTATATTTTAAATGACAAAAGGATGAACAACCCTATATCTTTATTAAAAGTTATTTTCTTAGGAAATATCTCTAAAATTGAAATTATTGAATAAGAGGTTATGAGCATTCTCATCATTCTGTCTCATCATTGCCAAATTGCTTTCCCAAGAGTGATGCCAACTCACTCTCATCCTAGCAGTGTTTTCCTTTAACTGACTGGTCTCATTTTAAAAATCTTTACTAATTTCCTAGACACGACATGCTAACCCACCGTTTAATATGCATTGCTTTGATTATAATGAGGTTGAACATTTTTGCATGGGTTTGTAATTCTATCATTCATGAATTGTCTGATTAGATCTTTTGCTTAATTTTTGTGCTTATAGTACTTGTAATATCCATTGGTACGGGTCATTTATAGAGAGAAGATTTTATGTATTACAATTTCTGTGAATTTGCTTCCTATGTTTTGATTGGTAGATCTTAACACCAATTGATTAGACAAATCACAAAAGAAGCATGAGACAACATATGATTTTTATACCTCTCCTTATTTTTCCTAGTTCATGTGTTAGCAAAGCACAAAAACAGTTGTTCCAGTGTTGGTAATAGTCCTATATACAATTGCCATGAGCTAGTAACGATGGACAACTCAGAATGTGTGAGAAGGCTAAAGGAAGTGAACGCACTTTTAACTATTTTCAGGACAAATTAATTCTAAATTTAGAAGGAATATAATAAAATTTCCTTCATACCATTTTGCAGTTGAGAGTTCTCCTTCAGGTATAATACAGGAGCTCTTCTATTGTCAACTAAGGCCCTTTACAATTTCACAAAAGAGATGCAAATATGAAGGACTTGCCCTCAAAGCCTCATTGATATTAAAAGCCGAAATAAAACAAAATTTAATTTGAAAAAAGAAGAGAATCAGATGATAGTTTTTTCTTTATATTTAGATAGGTAAAAGAAAAAAGAAAAAAATTGAACACACAAAATTATTTCAAGTTAAACAATAGAGAAAAACAAAAGCCCAAACATTTTCTTTTTTTTCTATCTATATGTCTGTAGTCACTGCATCATCAACAAATGTTCTGGTATTATAATTCCTACTGTGTTTTTGCATTTATGTAAAATTAATATCAGCTGAATCAAATGGTGAAAACAATGCCTTTAGGCTATCATTACTTAATTAATTTAATATCTATAAGAGGGTATGTTATTAAATTAATTACATATAATTAAATTAATTAAATTAATTTAACTATGATTTACAATTTAGTTTACACATTGTTGCATTTTTGTTTTTGTTTTTTAAAAAGGAGTCTCATTGTCTTTACTCAGTTTTGCTTCTATTGGAGTTCATCATTTTTGAGAATGATGAAAGCCTTTCGCAAGAGACTGGATAGAACTAACCTACAAGTCATCTTTGAAAGTAATATGGGTCAAAAACAATGTTAACGATGGGTCAATGATAATGCTTCTCCATTAAATTTAGGTAGTATTTGGCAATTATTTTGGCAGTGATTTTTTTTTTTAAAGTCAGTTCAGGAAAGATTATCACTTAAAGATCACAGCTCTGAAAAATAAATGCCCACAAGTTGCTAGTAAATAATAGATAACATCATTGGGTACTTTTCTAGTCATTTTTTATTTCATTCAAACTTCTCAGCATTCCTGAATTAAAAGAGACCCAAAAAATGAATTAAGTCCTCTTGAAATGGTAAAAGAAACAAAGTAGTTCATTGGAGAAATGATTCCACACAACAATGCCGTCTTCAAAGCAATTTTCTAAGGTGTTTCTCTAATAAGAAACAATAAGTACATATGAAAAGTAGAGTAGCTAATACAGATAGAGAGAGGTTCTGAAATGTTGGTAGCACTTTAACCCCAAACGAATTTTGGAAGTGTACCAATCTCCTTTAAAGTTTAATTGTAGAAGCAACAAGGAGTCTAGCATTGGAACGATCATAATATACTCCCTTAAAAATCTGTCTTTCACCTTAGTCCCATATGTATACTTTCTTCAATATTAAATTCAGTTAGCATTGAGAGGAATCATGATGTACTCGAAAGAGGTGGCCTGATGTCTCACAGATGAAGATCTGAACTCGTTTTATTTAGTGAAGTTTAGTAATTTGCCCACAACCAGCCACACATCTAGTGACTACTCTCATTCTCTTTCCCCACACTGTCTGAAAACAGACATTCCAAGTCATTATTGCTATTTTTCCCTCTTCTCATCACAACCCACTTCCCCAAATATACCATTACTTCTCAACAACTCTCTGTTCATGAGATACTCATTTAAGGTCTATGGATTTCAAATTTGCCTTAACAACAATATAATATTTACCCCAAAGCCTGGAACTGATTTGAGAGCCCTCTCCCAGGTTAATATCTATGATTCTAATGCCTTTTATTGATGGGGTAATGGGACTGGATAGTGGTGATTGGGACTGTGGGAGTAGTGATGACTTGCCACATTCGGAAAATCATCAAGAGTGTGCTTTGTTGAGCACCAAACCATCACCATATTAAGAGAAGCTCATTTTACAGGTATACCTATGGGGATCATAATACCATTACTTTTCTTTGAAACTTCTGGATACCTAAAATAAATATACGCATTCATGCAATGCAAAGAGATGTTCACTGCTCTGACAGAGTTTACCAGCCAAGCAAGCCATTACAAGGAACTATATGTTACATACTATAAACACTCACACTTACCTCAGTTAACTATAGCCTGAAGTAGAAACAATGAAGCCATTATATTTATTACTTTTTTCCATTGTTAATTGTTTAAGTAAAGGCTTCTGTTTAAGTCAAAACTGCCAGCAGAAACACATTGTATTTGCTTAGCTGGGTTTCCTTCCAGAGCATATGTAATTGTGAATTTCAAATATGTAGTGCCTGCCAATTATTGTTGGCTTTAAGGGAGTCAGATATCTTATAATTAAACCTACCACTATTAGCCCCTGGAAGTTGGAAGCCAGATAGAATCTTAAATCATGATCTTCCTAGCTGTCATTGCCTTACTAATAATTTCTGAGGACTTTGGCTCTCCCTAACAATGTAAATAGTAATAGCTAAATTCAAATTGTGTGGAAGGTCTTTTAAAATTGGATAAAAGCTATATAGATTAAAATAATTACAATGAATTAATAATGATACCATAGGGTGCACTTGCTGGACAAGAATTTTAAGCACTTTGTGCATACAATATTATGAGGTGCTGTCCAAGTAGATACCTACATGGGTATGGCAATATTTATACTGCATATTTATAATTACTAGGTAAGGAGAGGTATAGAGTGTGTGTCTATGAACATTTAAATAGATCTACCATTCAAGTTGAAAATTTCCATCATTTGGCTGTGCTCGGTGGCTCAGCCTGTAATCCCAGCACTTTGGGAGCCGAGGTGAGTGAATTGCCTGAGCCTCTGGGTTCAAGACCAGCCCAGGCAACTTGGCGAGACCTCGTCTCTACAATAAATAAAACTTAGACAGGCGTGGTAGTGTGCACCTGTAGTTCTGGCTACTTGGAAGACTGAGGTGGAAGGATCACCGGAACCCAGTTGGTGGACGCTGGGGTGACTGTGACGGTGCCACTGCACTCCAGCCTAGGCAACGGAATGAGACACCAACTCAAAAAAAAATCCATCATTTAGCTATTTAATATCTAGTCTCTTTATGTTTGTTTATTATTGGTGATCAAAAAATTATGAAAGATATTAAGAATTTCAGTTTGGAAACACAAAGCCTCTGAATAAAATTCTTCTTATTTAAAACTTAGTTCATACTATAAAAGGGAAAAAGTTCTTAGTAAACAGAAGTGTTAAGAATTATAGACTCCTAAAATTGATGACTGTGAAACCACCCCACACACATGCCTAAGCCACTTCCCACATATTAGAATTTAGTTTGTGTTTTAAAAGGCCTCCAATTGGTTATGTTTACAGTAAATGATAAAAACACAGCCCTCAAGGAATGTACAATGTGGCCCAAGTTCTTTCCTTAATGTTGCTGACATATTTCATGAAAGTTATTAGAACTTTCAAACCTAAAACCTTTGGTGTACAATGTAAGCTTGTGATATTGATTTGGTTGTTCCTTTGTAGCTAAGAGCAAAATGATCTTCTTATAGAAATTAGTGTACTAATATAACTATTTCAATTCTCTCTTTAATTGGAAAGAAGAAAGCAAATCTATTTGAAATATCATTTTGTCCAAATGATAGGATGATTTATAGCTGGATTCTGTGTAATTTTAACAATAGATCAAGTCTTTCTGTTTTCTACTTTGAAATATGACTGTTTATATTGTGCTATGTTTATTACCCAAACCATAACAATTTATTGAGTCTATACCACATACTACATGCTTTGGGAAATGGCGAGGAAAAAAACACTAAGCAGAAAGGAGATTGATTTTTATTAGTTCTTCCAAGGATGATAAGCCTAGAGATTTATTTATTTTCTATGTTTTTATTTGCCCTCTCCCAAAAAGAAGAGTGTTAGAAATAAGTAAAACAGTATAAAAGATAATCAAGTAAGTCATGGTAAAGGGAAAATAAGGAGTAAGGGATACGATTAGTTCACAAAAAATGAGTATTATATAATTCTCGCTTGAAGTTGATTATGCATCAAAGACAGACAGATGACCTTATAGTTAAGGTACCAAAGGATGTATTAAATAATATCTCCTACTCCATAGTATTGCTAAAATTAATAAATTCAATGAAGAGTTTCATACGACTGGTTTCTTAAAACATATTTTATTTTACCCTGATAACAAAGGCAGAAAATGAGGAAAATGGAAGATAAATAGAGCAACAGAGAATTTTCATTTTTATGTTCTGACTACAACTTGAAGTTCAACTCACTGTTGCCATTTTAGGGCCAATTGTGTGCTTTAATGGTCAGTGAGATGGAAGCAGTTTTGACATTTTCCTAAGAAATTTTGGGACAAATCCCAGAATAGAAAGTCATCAAAGTCCACCATGCTTCCATTCATTGATAGATCCAGGTGGTTCACACAGGCAGGGTAAAAAAAAATCCTTCCAAAATCAATTTCTCATCCTTTCAGCACGTGACAAGTGAATGATCAGCATTCTAAAGTATATGCCATAGGGATTTAATACAACAATTATAGCCTGGACTATTTCCAAAGCAGGGTTACCAGTCCAAATTGGCCAAAGGTAAATTACTAAGACATTCATTAAATGTTTAATTTTAAGCAATGCAACTTTCTTGCCAATTTGATAATGAATTAGCTGTAAAATATGTTCTTAGGGAAGTTATACTATACCCTATTATGCTATACTGTATAACATTACTATATTATAGACAGTCATGTGTCACAACAATGTTTTGGTCAATGACAGACTGTACATATGATGGTGGTGCCATATGATTATAATGGAGCTGTAAAATTCCTATTGTCAGTTAACACCATAACTGTTGTAATGTCATATTGTAATGTATTACTCACATGTTTATGGTGATACTGACCAAACAAACCAACTGTGCTCCCAAGCATATAAAAGTATAGTACGTACTGTTATGTACAGAATACTTGATAATGGTAATACATGACTATATTACTGGTTTATGTACTTTCTACACTATGATTTTATCATTAGAGTGTACTTCTACTTATTAAAGAAGAAGGGAACTATAAAATAGGTTCAGTCAGGTCCTTTGGGAGGCATTCCCGAAGGCATTATCACAGGAGATGACAGCCCTCTGTGTGTTATTGCCCCTGAAGACCTTCCAACATGACAAGTTGTAGAGATGGAAGACAGTGATATTGATGATCCTGACCCTGTGGAGGTCCAGGAGCAAGAGAAGCATAATTAACTCTCCACTACACATTCATGGGAGCTTAAATGGTATGTGAAAAGCTTCCTGTGGCAGTCTTAACAAAACCGGGTTCCTACGATTCCAGAATTAATGTTTTATTCTAACGCACATTATTCTTTACTGAGATTAATGAAAAGACACAGGTGTTTTTCTGTAATTAAGAAAACATGTAGGATTATAGTTTGAGGATTAGAGAAAGGGAAAAGTATAGGCAATTAGGGTTACTGATAATCTGGATGTCTTGGGTTTTAAACAAAAGTTTTTATAATAAGTCTCTGCTTGTTATCTCTTAATAGCTAGATTTTAAAAAGTCTTCCATTTCATAAAACCCAAGGATGTGGGCAACTAGTTTCCCTTTGTCCATGCTGAATTCAGGGACTTATCTCCAATACCCACTTTGAAATCTGTACCAAGTTAATTAATTTCCTGGCAAAGAATCTGTCCTTCATTATCAATAAGTGCAGTGTTTTTAACTGTGGCAGTAGCCAGATCAAAACAAATGGGTATGCAGCTATTACTTTATTCATATGTCTACTTTTGTTTCCAGGAAACTCTGGATGCCCCTTTTTTCTCTGGGGACTTCTAGCCTTCTTGGGTTTGGCCCTGCTTATATCTCTGATCTTCAATATTTCCCACTATGTGGAAAAACAGCGACAAGGTAATACATTTTGACAAATAGTCATATGGTACCTGTTTGAATGGAGACTGTGGAATCATTGGAAAATCTGTGAGAATAAAAAACTTAATGAAATGTCATTCAATAGGATATTTTTATCTGTAGAAAATCTTTGTTTTTTTACCCTGAGGGTACTCTTAATTTAAGAATGCAATCATACTAGATATGTGGGGGATAACATCTCCCAAGTTTAGCTTTATCTCTGTTTTAGGGCATAGAGCTGGAAGGGCTTATCCTGGTAAACGTGTTTTTCCCCCTCCAATTGAACAACCAATGAAATTGTAGTCACTTTTAGAGTAGCCATCAAGGTACTCTCTGACACATGATGAGAAAAGGGAAGACTAGCCCTTTAAGATTGTACTCAGGCCTAGTCTTTTTAGGATTAGTTGGGTGTCTCAAGTGCAACAGTCAAGAATGGGCTCAGAAGGGTACTAGAAACACAGTAGAGAGAACCATGGATTTGTTACCAAACTCTCCCCAGTCCCGGGAGGGTAGGTCAAGAGTATCTGCCACTGTCAGCTTTGCTTTTTCAACACTGGGCATCAGTTTTCATCATTTGACTTTCACCTACGTGTATCATGACTGAAATAGATAAGGCCACTCATGCCTGTCAAGGGAGATGTCAGGATTCCAAGAAACAGGTAAAACCCAGCAATTGGCACAGCCTTGTACACTGTAGGCATCCAACACTTCCATATGGAATTCATATGGATGAAGTATGGCAGAATGAAAGTTCAGCTTCTGCTGGACCGTGTCTTAACACCAAGAAACTCTTAGAGGCAGGGCATTTAAGTGGTGATAAAAGAACAGAGAAAAAAGGGTAAATGCATTGTCATTTAACAGATGAAAACAAATAAAACTAAGTTAAGAAAATTAAGTTAGGCACACGTGTCCAGGAAAAATTGCATGGAGCTAATTTAGAACAATGGTCAGATTGCAGTAAGTGTCCTTGCTCCTCTGAGGAATATCTTACGTGTTGATCATAGTAATATAAAATATGAAAAAGAAGGCATTATGTTGTAATGCAGGTTTGAAAGAAAAGATAAGTGGCATTAGAAAATGAAGGGGCATAGCTGAGTTCACACATCTATTCAATAGCAAAATAAGGATAAGCGTCCAGTTTTTCTAATTCTCTGTGCAAAATGGTTTCTACCAGCACATGCTACATTTACATTGTTGACCAAATGTCCTCGGCCAGAAATCCAACACTCTTTTAGGTGCTCTATTATATCAATTCTATGCTCAAAGTGAAACTTCAGGCAAGCAATGCTTTTTCATTAGCAATGCTGTCAGCAATTATTTTAAAAATCAAATATATTTTCAAACAAACTTTTAAAGTCAGATGTATAAGTGATCCATCATCATACATCTACAAAGTTTCCTTCTTTTATAGAAAAAAAAAACAGCTCAGAATACACTTTTCTTTATACAATAGTTTAAGCTGAGTATATTTAAATTTCCTCATTAACATATTTTATGAAGGCAGATGACATTATCACCTAAATTATAAAAAGGTGAATTGGTATCTAGAAAAATAAAATAATTTGAGGTGGAATCAAGGACAAGAAGAGTCATCTGAACTAGTATCTTGCTCTTATTGATTCCATTGGTAAGCCTCTTAAGATTTTTGTGAGGCCAGATAACACATAGACTGACATGTTTAGCTTGAGCCCAACTGCTTAACTTAAATCTCATCTAGCAAATATGACCTATTTACTTTCAACATAACTAGCCATATTTTTAGCCCTAGGATTACATTAAATTATGGATATTAAGAATCACTTTTTATCAACACGACCATGATCAGGACCAATCTGACTTCACTGACCTATTATTACTTCTATCTCAGAAGTATCTGGTTGCCCTAGTCTTTTACAACCCAATGTGAGCAGATTTTACAATCTCACTTTTGGTAGTTTATGCATTGGGACTTATTTATCTCCATCTATACCATTTTCCACCATGTCAACTCCTTTTTAGAGTAGTTTGCTTATAATGGTAAGTTGACCACTCCTGAAAGACCATGGGCTAACTCAAAAAAGCCACGCCTTTTCATTTTGTTTTTTCACAACAGATTTTTTTTTTCTTTTCAATTATACAAACTCTTACTGCCCCAGGCATATCATAATTACTCCATTGCCTAAAAGTAGTATGGTGAGAAAGAACAACATTCTTTAAAAACGGGAAGTAATAAATTGCATTTATTGATTATGCTTTTTAAAATCAATTTCAGTCCCTCAGCTGTTTTTAACAGCATACCTTTGAAGTCAACCTGATATGAATTAGAACTCTGCTTTTAATATTTAGCTGGGAGAGGTTATATGAGTAATGCAGGTTCTCTGAGTCTCAGATTCCTTATCTACAACATGTGGAAAACACCATCTAGACCATAGGGCTCTCATGAGAATTACACACACACACACAAACACACACACACACACACACACACACACACACCCTTTGCACAGTCCTGGGAACTTAGTAGGTCAGTCCTGGACCTGGCACAGCTCACATCACTACACCTTGTGGTCTTGGTGCTTCCTTCCCTCCTTCCACAAGAAATAATTAAGGTCCCACTGTGGCTATATGCCCTCCCATTCCATGTTAATGTCTGTTATTTCAGGGACCATTAGTTCCTCTGGCTTCTTTGCTGCTCTCACTATCCCTAGGCCCTCTAGGTCCTCTCCAGCTCCCACCTCACTTCCTGCCTCCCCCAATCTCTGTGTGCTTTAACACTTCTGTACGATACTCTGAGTTTTAGCAGTAACTGTTGTGGTCATGTAAGTCACGTTCAGGTCCATTTCAGAGAGTTACCCGCAGGCTTTCATGGACCTGGTTCTAAACATTAGCCTATCACAAATCATTTTATTTGAGTAGTAATGTGCCCTTCTTAGGTAGAGCACACAACCCTGGGACTTGCACTTTATTGGTGTGTAATGGATAAAGTGTTCATCAATGCTGTAAGAATTCCCTTTGTTCTCATCTTTTGTCTGCCCTTTCTGTCTGTCCCAACTTTTCCCGACATCTTTTCCAAAGCATTAGTAATAACTCTGTCATACTTTCCATCCCATACAAACAAATATACTATCTTTCTTTTTCAGCCAGAGATTTCAGGTAGATTTGGGATTAGCTCTGCAAACCTTTAGACATCTTCCCAGGCCTCCTGAGGACTCCTTCCTGTCTTGTTTCTCCCAGACAAACAGACCAGAAGAGATTCTATCACAATAGCCAGCTCTTCTGCCACTTAGTCTGTGACTATAATGGCCCTGTATCTGGCCTCATGTCACTTTTTATGTCTGTGCTACTTACTTTTTGTTGCTAAGAAACTTGCAAGATAAGACTCCACCTTGGCAAACAGTCGGTGAATAAGTTTTGCTGGTGTGTTAAATAGCTTACAAAAGAAAATCTCTATTCTGGCAACAATATAATATCTACACATTCAATCAGATAGACCAGATAAGCCTCTCCTTGATGTTTTCTGTACCAGCTAGGTAGCCATGTTGAAATGGAGTTCTGTCATCCCATCTTGAGATAAATCTTTCATTTTTATGTGATTCTTCATTCAAATCTGTTCTTTAGGAGCATTTTACTTATTTCTTTTTCCGATAGGAAAGCATTAGCCTTTTCTTCCTTTCAATACAAAGAAATATTCTTTATCCAACTCTTTCTTTCTGCTTTGAGAAGGGGAATGAACAAGTGTATGGTTTGTTCAGACATCAAAGTCCTATCAGTACATCTCTTATTTACTAGAAAATTACAGCACATTTTTTACATTGAAAATGTATCAAAAAGATTTTATTGTGGAGTTTCAACCATATGCTGTTGTTTCTTGTTGTGCTGTGCATAGAAGGTAAATACTAAAGGAGAAAACATAAAGGCAAATATGTTTGCATCACACCCTTGACTACGAACCTGACCGCAAGTGTTTGCATCTGAATCACAGGAAAGGATTATGAAAACTCACTGGCTTCTTCCCACACACAGTCTTGCATACTTAATTGCTTTATAGCAAAGCGCCCACGTTTGAAGTTTGCTAAATCTCATTGAACTCTCCAGGCAGCTTTTAAGTCATGCTATTTATCTTTAAATAAACGTATGAGGCCTTAGGACAGAGCAAATGCTTCAGGAGCCTGAGCTGGCTGACCTTTATTCTTAGCTGTAACCTCTGAACTTTATACTCCTACTCCCCACTTAGAGAGGTTATATTCTATCAACCTTCTTCTAGGAAAAATTGTAAAACGAAAATGACCCAAATACTGATCACTTGACTCCGAATTATACATTTACAACTTCAGGGTAAGCATGGAACGAGGTCCCTTGCACTGTTTACTTCCCAGTTCAGACACTCCCTTACCCATTACTTATTTTCTCATTTTTCTCTTTGGTTTAGTCCTCTTTCCTTCCATCTAAGCATTGCATTACTATGTTGTGCTTTTTTATATAGTTGCTTCTATTTCCTTTGTTTCCTGCACAGCTTTTTTGGTCTTACTTTTTTTTTTTTTTCTGCTGATAATACATCCAATATATTCCTTTCCATAGAGCTAGCTTTTTGCACGTGACATTAGTATACTTTCCAGGGACCAACTTTCATACTTCAAACACCTCTAATTGTGAAATTCACATTATCTTTTTAAAAATATGAGTCTGCTTAGGGAAATGTTTTTATTCTATACATACTTGTTATTAAGAAATGACACTATTTTTATTTTCAAATTCTTTCGTTTTTATATTTTCTTTCAAATTAATGCTCAACCGGTGGCAATCCTTTTACCAGAGGTGAGATGTTGATACATTCATTCCAAATCAAGATTTACTTGTAAATCTTTTAACTTTAAAATATCATCTTACAGCCGGGCTCAGTGACTCAGCCTGTAATCCCAGCGCTTTGGGAGGTTGAGGTGAGTGGACTGCCTGAGCCTGCGGGTTCGAGACTCACCTGGGCAACTTGGCGAGACCTCATCTCTACAATAGATAAAAAAAATTAGCCGGGCGTGGTAGCACGCACCTGTAGTTCCAGCTACTTGGAAGGCTGAGGCGGAAGGACTGTACTCCAGTCTGGGTGACAGAGTGAGACTCTGAGTCAAAAAAAAAAAATCATCTTACTAATATCAACCTGTTTTCAACTAACCCATGTAATGAAAAAACTTCCTGACTCAAATGAGCACAATTAAATTCTGGCTTGTTATATAACATGTATTTAGGATGTATAATATTACAACAAGCTTTGTCATCTAAAAATGTTTTACAAAAATTATCTTATTTATCTCCCATGTCTACTCCAAGATACAGGCATTATTGTCCCTACTGTGTGAATAAACTGAAAATCTGAGTTGTAAAGTAACATGCATGTTATCACATGGCAAATGCCTTGCAAAGCTGGTATCAAATCCATGTCTTCTGATTCCTAACCCTAAATTTGTTCCATTCTACATCAGGCTACAGTTTGACTAAATTCTTGTGCATGCACTTTAATTCCAGGCGAATCTGAAAAATAATTAGTGACCCGAGTATCAACATTTTCTTCATAAAATAATAAGTCAATGCTTTATATTGTGTCTTATTTTCCAGTTTACAATTTTCTGGGCTATATTAACTAATTTTTCTTTTTATCTTTGTGATATTCTTTACATTTCTTGGGGTTTTTGATTTTGCTGAACATCCCTTACCTTGTGGCTATGGTTGCAACATCTTTTAGACCTCTCTAGACTTTTCCCAGCATTCGTGCACATTCATATTCACAAGACTAATCTGAAAGTAGTTGAAAATAACTGCATCTTTTATATGCAGTTCATGGTAGGACATCTCCTCTGGGCTAAAAGTGTATTTCTGACATATCCCAAATGACTTACATCCATCACTTTTGGTCTCGCAGCAGCTTAGTGCATATGCTCTGCAAAATCTTCCCTCATTTGGTTCTTCACAGAATTCTTCCAAACACATTGACAGGTGACATGTCCATTTCATCCTCCAATGTGATTATTTTCATAAAGTGTTCCACTAACATTTCTTTAATGGTTAATAACCTCTCTGGAGAATAACTCAACTCAGTTACCCATACATCTAACTAAAAATAATTTTTGCAGTTGTTTGGTGACTTACTCAATTACTTGAAAATGTTATTGCTAGTTCTTCACACAGTGTTTTTTGTATGTTAAAGCAAAATATTCTCATTCAATTATTGTTGTTTCTGGGTCACTATCAGAGTCTTACATAATATTGTTTTTTAAAATATGAATAGCTTTTGCAAGGATTTGACTTTTATTTAATGCCAGATTAGGCAATTCAAATATAATAAACATCATGCTATGTATGCCCATCTAGTTTAACATCAAAGAAAATTTATTGATGAATGGGTAATACAAATTCCTCCATAATATTGATCTTAGTTATCAAAACTGTTTTCTGAATATTCCTTAATTTTTCTCAATGATTTGTTATGAACCTATTGCCTTCACTATCAAAAATTTTAAAAGTACAACTTCCAATAGCTTTTGGATTCATTATATTTAACTAGAAGTAAAAAATACTTCATTTTATTTGCCCTTGAACTACCACCTATAAGGTTCAATAATGAGTTACTTGCTGAGGTTGGGTACATAATTTTTTCATGGTTTTGTTATCCCACATCACATCTCTCATAAGTCTTGTCTCTGCATAACAAAGAGAACTATATATTTTTAGAAACCATTCTACTGTTTTGATTAATTTTAGAGACAGTGTTCTAGCTTTTTCGCGGTCTCTTCTCCCTAAGGCCTTCATTTCTCCTTACTACTGTTTGCACCATGTGGGTGAAATGAAAGCATGGCCAGAGCGTCTTAACATCATTTCTTTAACATCATTTTTATGTTGGTGCTCACGTGCCAAGAAACAGAAAGAAAGAAAAAGAAAAAAAGATAGGCAGACAGGTAGGTAGGTTGGTAGATAGATAGATGATAGATTAAAAACAAAAAACAAAAAAACTGCCTCCTAGAGATTTTTTCTCTTCTTTTTCTTTCTTTCTTTTTTTTGGGGGGGGCTGGGGGTAAAGGAAAAGCCTAATCAAAGCAGCATGGGTAGAGATGGAAACTTACCAGAAGAATACAGAGGTGTTTTGTGGAGTCCAAAGGCAGAAAGTACAATCAGGACCCACAACGAACTAGAACCACAAGGGAGGCAGGAATGAAGGTTACATCTTCTCTACTTAATTTTTTTTGTGCATAACATGACCATGCATCTGGGCTCTACATTACTTCCAAACTGCACTGTTTCCATTCCTGATTACCAAGAGAGAATCTGATTGGCCCAAATAGAAGGTCTTTATCTCTAGTTCAATCGGTGGTCACCTGAAGGGTTTGATCAAAGATATTAACTGACACTGAGGTTAAACTCTCAGAACGCTCTGTAGAAGATTTTTTTTTATTTTATTTTAAAGATGTGGCGTACAATTCAGGGTTAGATGTACACATGAGCATTAAAGACCGAACAAAGCCACATTTTCTTTTAATTTGCCTATTTTGGATATCTTTCAGATAAAATGTACAGGAACTCTGATGACTACATTCCCAGGTATGTTAAAATTTAGTCATTATTACAGTTCCCAACTAATAAAAGAAAGTAAAAAACACTATATTGCTATCAATTTGGCTCAGGGATGTCACACGGGTTAAAATAAAATGAAAAGTGAATTTTATTTACTCTTACTCCCATCTGAAGATTAGAAGCTGTAACATTATTATCTGTCCTAGTTATTTACACATTGTTGAGTCAATGAGAGAGCTGGTCAAAGGATGGAGTGAAACTTACCTGGCATCTACAAAACTCTCACTGACATCAGAAGCAAGGATCCTAGATTATGATTCAGATCAGACTGGAAAACATTCAGATCAGATTGCCTAATTATGTATAGAATTGTACTATACTTTAGAAACCAGAGGAGAAAAAAATCTGGCAATACCTAATAAAATGTAAGATATAATATATACACACGTACACCAGAAAATATTTTTTGGAGAGTCAGGTCCCTTGTAGTACACTCGGAATTTATTCTTCTGGATTTAACAATCAACCAGTTTTGTTTTGTTTTTTGAGTTGGAGTCTCACTCCATGGCCCAGGCTGGAGAGTGCAGTGGCACACTCACCACCACCGCAGCCTTGACCTGCTTAGGTGATCCTTCCGCCTCAGTCTTCCAGGTACCTGGAAGTATAGACACACGCCACCACACCCGGCTAGTTTTTGTGATTTATTGTAGAGACGAGGTCTCACCAAGTTGCCCAGGCTGGTCTTGAACCTCCAGACTCAAGCAATCCTCTCGCCTCGGCCTCCCAAAGCGCTAGGATTACAGGCTGAGCCACTGCACCTGGCCAAACAGTTTTTATCTGGAAGTTTTGACAAGGTTGTGTCATGATTTGTGAAAAAAATATCTTGAGTTGTGGCAAACAGATGACTGGTTCTTTCACCCTGACAACACACCTGCCCACACCGTGCTGAAATGTTCAGCAGTTTTTGACCCCCAAATGGCATGACCCCTGGGCCCCACCCTACCTATTCACCCTATCTCATCCTGAGTGACTGTTTGTGTTTCCCCGGATGTAAAAAGTCCTCAAAGGGAAACCTTTTGCCCATGTGGAAGAGATGAAACAAAAAATGGCAGAAGCACTAAAAGCCATCAAAACTGACAAGTTCAAAAACTGTTTTGAACAGTGGAAGAAGCAACTCGATGTGTGTATTGCATCAAACGGATAGTACTTTGACATCGACTGAAGTTTCAAATGTGTAAGAACAAATACACAATTTTTTATAAATAAATTTCAGGGTTTTTTGGGTTCCCTTTTATACACAAGATGCTTACTGGTATGTTTTTATAAAGGTAATACCAATCAATAAGGAAATGTGATGAACAGATACTCTAAAATAATATGCAGTCATAGACATAACTTATTCTCTTTAATAGTTATTGAGTTAGTTTGTAATTTGTATAATATCATATTTTTTTAAAAGAAAGTTTATGGCATAAAGCACAGTAAAGAAATTTCGTAAGGATTGACAATAGCGGGAAACTGCAGAGTGGTGAGGGAGTGGGAAGGTGGGATTGGCAGTAATGGGAATCTGCCAGGGGAAGGGGGGGCACACCTTATCAACAAGGGTACCTACACAATGAATATTTGTCAACCTAACTCTGAATTGTACCCCACAATTTTAAAATAAAAAATTTAAAGGTGAAAAAAAGAAATTTCATATTTTTAAATAGTATATTCTGACCCAGATGTGTCATTGTATTGAAGATTGCTGTTTTAGAAGTAAAAAAAAAAAATCTAAATAAAGAGTATTTCCTAGAGGGCTTTTCAAGACCTTTCTGAAATGGTAGACTGAAAGGTCTTTGAAAAACACAGAGCTTTCTCACTGGGTAGGATAAGATTATAAGCCTTTTGGCCTCAAAAAGTTCTTTTTAAAAAATTCTTTTTCATGTAAAAATTTCTCAGGCAGATTTAAGATCTGGGCTGCAGGTGGACCTCTTACTCATAAAAATCTTTATTTTTATGACTACTCTTAACACTGGATACTTTACCATGAGATAATTTTCAAGTCATTGCCCATGTCAAGAGTGATTTGCTGATCACTCTTGTTTTTTTTACAATGAACAACATGACAAAGAAAAATCCTATATATCTATGTAGTAGAAACTAATATCTTTGATCATCAATTTGATACTTTTCATTTGAAAGACAATTAAGATGCAATGTGATAGAAAGTCTTGTGATTTTTATCATTTAGCTAAAGATTGGGTTGGTGCTTTAGGAATTAGGATGGGAAGGGTAAGAAATAATTGGTAAAATAGCTGTCTCAAATCCATCAGGCTCTTATCTTAGGAAAATGTAAAAAATAAGCTGTTCTTTTTGTTGTTGTTGTTGTTTGTTTGTTTTTGAGTTGGAGTCTCATTCCATCACCTAGGCTAGAGTGCAGTGGCATGCCCACGGCCACCCCAGTGTCAACCTGCTGGGCTCTGGCAGTCCACTGCCTCAGCCTTCCGAGTAGTTGGAACTGCAGGTGTGGTCTACCATGCCCAGCTAAGTTTTTTTATTTATTGTAGAAATGAGGTCTCGCCAAATTGCCCGGGCTGGTCTCAAACCCACGGGCTCAGGCAATCCACTCACCTGGGCCTCCCAAAGTGCTGGGATTACAGGCTGAGCCACCGAGCCCAGCCAGCTGTTCTTTTATAGCACTCATTCACTCAGTAAATGTTCACTCAACAAATAAGTTCTATGCTAGACAACGCAAAACAAGTTTTCTGATTACCAATCCTAAGGGAGGACTCCTGTTACAAGGAGGATAGCAAAGATCATTACTATGCCAAGCACCAGGAATAGGAGTTGGAACACTTCAGCCCACTGCATCTTGGGCTGTACGTCTACTACTTGCCTGAACCTGGTGAGGCGGACCACTAACACACAATGAGTTATGTAATGTGAGCTTATTACTTTCAGATAGCAATAAGGGACAACTGAAAGCCTAGAATTCATTGGCAGCTGGTACCCTCCAGGCTCAGGAGAGCTGCCCAAGGTAGCCGGAACCTTATCTGCATGTGTTCTACTTGCTGCAGCTGACGACCCCAGAAAGCAGTCCACTTTGGGTTTTATACCCTGAGACCAACGTGACACACAGAGCTAAAGCATGGAAGGATATTCTGTTTCTGTGGGAAACTGGAATAAAACCTGGGCTGTTCCAGCCAATTCCTCTTTACCCCAGAATGTTGCATTTCCAATACATTCTACAGTTTCTCTTAACAATTACAAGCGAGAAAGGGAGAATAACTGGGCTGGTCCAAGGACACCCAGAGAACTGTCCTGTAGCAACAGAGATGCAAAGATGGAAAGGCACAGATCATCCCCTAAAGATTTAATCATATATTGTCTATTGTAATAAGTCTGCATTTAGGCATAGTTTGAACATACAATGCAAACTTTATCTATAGAGAGGGGTTGGTATATAATCCATAAGTCCATGTATATTCTTTATAACTTCTCTATTTCTCTTCAGTATGTGGTTTGTAAACTAAAATCACTTTTGTAAAGGATCATAAGTGCTCCAGGAAAAGACAAATAAAAAACTATATAAATCCATTAAAAGTTAAAGCAAAGTAAGTGAAGATAAAGTCCATCTCTCTAAAGCGGGGCTTGAATTACTGATGCTTCTTCAGTCACAACATGATTTGTAGCTATAGAAAGAAAACAAACTTTTCCACCACACTGAATTCGCTGTTGCTCTCTCTCCAACCCGTACTCAATATCAGCTTAGGTGGGAAGTATACTGAAAGGGAAAGAAATTGCTTCTCTGATATTATCTTCCTACTTCCCCAAATCCTTGCCCTTCCTGCAACAGTAGGTCAGAAACATTATCACTTTAAGGAGAACATAGCATCTGAATCTAATAGAAAGTCAAATATATTTTCATTTAAAATATAATTCTACATAATTCTTGTCTTTTTGTGTTTGGAAGATAATGCAGAGGAACTATCATAGTTTTGAGATCCAGACAATTCTGGATTTTAAGCAAACTCTTGCGATTAGTAGTTTTGTGGTCTAGGGAAAATGATTGTGCATGGGTGAATTTCCGTTTTATCATCTGGCAAATACAGAGTATAATGTAATACTTTTTGTACAGAGAGTAGTTGAACAGAGGGTAGCTGCTGCCTTACTGAGTGAAAATTAAGGTCGAAGAAAATTCCGGCCACCTGCTGTATGTTCACCCCGTCATTTAGGAAAGCAGTTGAGGTTTACAGTTATCATAATCTTATTGTGACGCCTCAGTTTTCAGTGTCTCTCTCCAAAAGCTTAGGATGAATTCCCAACAGCTTCTCACAGACTGCTTCAGGGTGGCACTGCAGGTGCTTTGATCACAAAACATCATCTCAGCCCAGCTACTCTTCTGCTTTCAGTTGATTTCTTAAATTTCTGGACCTCTACAGGGTAGGAATCTTCTCCATTTCTCTTTGTTGAATATGCTCATTAAATCTAACAAGTGTCCTGGTGCCGATCTTTGGTGCCAACTACCCTCTTGACCTGTTCCCAGGATGAAGAATCCTTATAATAGAACTGTTAGTTCTCCTCGCCTGACATCTCAGACTTTCAACTGGGTATGAAGATGAGGCTCCACTCCGTTCACTGTCACACTTGTAACCATAGTTGTCTCTAAGTCTTCTGACTTCCTGTTTGTTTTTTTTTAATGTACAAATAACCATAGCCCAAGCCCAACCCTGTGCAACTGCAAGATGTCAGGTCCCTTTCTTTAGTACTTCAGGGTATCCCTGAGAAGTGGTTCTGTGTTCCACAAACCTTATTCTTGGCACTCCTAGCTCTGTCACTGCTCTTGAATTTGTCTCCATCCCTCTAGAAATCTTCATGCTGGCAATTCTTTCCAATCTCCTTTTCCCCAGACTTTGGCAAAAGACCTTCCTTCTTAAGTGCTCAAAAGTACTGCCAGTATATACTCTTTGAGCTTAATAGACCTTACAAAGAAATGAGCATATTAGAGTAGAACTTGAATAATGATCAAGAAAATGAATATAGTGTTAGATATCATGACTCTGAGTGTTCATGGACCATGCCTCTTCACAGGCAATGCCACTGGATTTGCTTTTCAGCCTCCAGTCACACAAAATGTGTGCCTGGGGGTTACACTCTTCCCATGGATCAAAGTTCTATCATTGCTGCCCTCCTACTCCAAGTTCAAGACACCTACAGCCATATCATAATCCCTCCTAAAGAAAGCAAAAATATAGGAATCATATACTCAGAAATACACGACTCCAGCAACTTTCTGTTTTTCTCCTGCATTGTTGCTTTTTCTGTCCTTTTTGTATCATTCCCCCAATATATAACTCATATTATGTATATCTTAAAATAAAATTTTAAAAACTCCCTTCAGACTAGATTCCTTTGCAGCTGCATCTCCATTGTTCTTTCCCCTTTGCAGTAAAACTTGAAATATCTGTCTACGTTCTGTCTATATTTGTTGGCTTCTCTTCCTCATCTCCTCTTCTTTCTTTCTTTTCTTTCTTTCTTTCTTTTTTTTTTTTTTTTTTGAGTCAGAGTCTCACTCCGTTGCCCCAGCTGGAGTGCAGTGGCACACTCATGGCCACCCCGGTATCAACACGCTGGGCCCGGCTAATTTTTTTCATTTATTGTAGAGAGGGGGTCTCGCCAAGTTGCTCAGGCTGGTCTCGAACCCCTGGTTGGAATTATAGGCTTGAGCCTCGGCGCTCAGCCTCTCCTCTTCTTTCTTGAACCCACTCTATTTGATTTGCTGTCCTCATTAATCCACTCATTCAGCTCTTGCCAAAGTTACAGTGAATTCCACGTGGTCAAATCTCTGTGTTATCTTCCTGGGGCCATCTGCAGCACTGGACAACACATCAACCCTTGAAACGCTTGCTTCTCTGGGTTTCTCCTTTTGGCTTTCCTCTCCTCTTCCCAGCAGTTTCTTCTTTGTTGGTTCCTGAACCTTAAACATCACAGTGCCCAGGGCTCATCTAGTGACCCTCTTTATCTATATTCATTTCATCCATAATTTCATTCTCTCTCATGACTTTAAATAACATGCCAATGGAACCCAAACATATACTTCTGCCTATTCAATGAAATATCTATTAAGCAAATCAAGGAAATAATTACCAAACTTCTGATAAATCCCTAAGCTTGTTCTTTCCTCAATCTGACAAACTTCCAGACCCTTAAAATAGCTTTACCTAGTTTTGTAAAAATGTCTTCCATTTTTCTTTGGATGTTGGAACCCTACATTTATATCACAGAATTTGAGAGTTGAAAAGAACAATAGGAATCAATTAGTTTAATGACTTCAATATGTTACTTTAGAAATAAGACAATTGAAATACAGAGAACTTAAGCCCAGTGTCATCCATGAAGAAGAAATAAATTTTTTAATTGAATTATTATTTAAATTGACTTATAAATTATTTGATGATTTTTTTAAAGAACATAATTTTTTAATGTAAATTAAAAATTAAAAATAGGGACTAGAAAACATATGAATAGAAGCACAAAATTTGGACCATAATAAAAGATACAATTAGTATTTTTGTAAATGTGCTTATTTGATAGAGGATCATTTTGGACACGTTCAGAGCAATGGAGAGTCTGATTTGTCTTAAAACTCAGGGGTGCACTAGCCTCTCAGATATGAGCTCAATTATTAACTTATTTTTTAAAGTAATTAATCTTCCAAATAAAACACTGCCAAACATTTGTTCTTGACGTTTATTACATATTTGCAAGAGGCTGGTGCTATTTGGGGTTGCTAAGTAAAAATATATATTTTAAATTTGTTTTTTAGGCAATTGCTCCTGAATAATAGTTTATTTGAGATGATTAATCATTTGAGATCTGCCTGTAGACACAGGGCGCTGCATTATAAATCACATCTTATTTTCATTCACAGGGAATGAAACGATATTCATTTTTTGGACATGATTTATCATTTGCAGGTTGTATCTGCTATCCATGCGGGCTAGGAAAATGGATGAATTGTCTTATTAAAAATTCTTCACCTACTGCTATTATATTCTTTGCATAGCCAAAGAAAAAGTATGAGCAGGGACTACATCATATCCCAATATTAAGCTGTGTTGAATTACGGGATGTAAAGAAAGGTTACAGATGAGTTTGTTTGTTATTAGATAAGCAAAATACAAGCCCACATCTGGGCTTTTCAAGCCATTCCATACAGGTATGATTTGAACTGTTTTTTTTTTTTTTTTAAGGAACGCCTACTTATTATTTACATACTGTGTCTTCTTTCAGAAGCATAAGGAGTAATACAAGTGTTATACTTTGTGATAAGCTTTCTGTTTTCTTTCGATGCAACTTTTCTGGCTCTCAGTGACATGTAATCTCAAAGTTAAAATAGTTGGTACTATTTTATGAAATGCCACTCTTACTGCCTGATATGTTCCTCTGTTCCCAGCCCACCATTGTGAAAGCTGGTCACTAGGGCCATCACTAATAGTAGGATGACAATCTGGTGACAATGGTGGGGTGTAGTATAATCCTAATAGTATCACTCTCATGAGGCTGAAAGAAAATTTAATTAACCAGCAAAACAAATAGCTATGTATTCATGTCAGTTCTCTTGGGGTGGGGGTGGGGCTCAATAAAACTATGGTCTCTGTGTAGTCTCTAGACTGTTTCCCGACAGCCTTTGAGTTGTATCACCCTTCATGTAACTTTCTCGTGATGCAGATGGAGCACAGGACTTTAAGATCAACCCCGCATTACAATCCTAGCACTGTTGCTTACTGATTTTGCGTCTTTGGACAATTTTTTTTTTTTTGAGTTGGAGTCTCACTCTGTCGCCCAGACTGGAGTGCAGTGGCCGCTCCCGGCCACCGCAGCCTCGACCTGCTGGGCTCCAGCGATCCTTCCGCCTCAGCCTTCCGAGTAGCCGGAATTACAGGCATGTGCTACCACACCCAGCTGATTTTTTGATTTATTGTAGAGATGAGGTCTCGCTGCCCAGGCAGGTCTCGAACCCGTGGGCTCAGGCAATCCACTCACCTCAGCCTCCCAAAGGAGCGGGATTACAGGCTGAGCCACCAATTTAATCAACCTCTATGAGTTGCAGAATCCTTATGTACACAATAAGAATACAATTATGCATTTCATATTATTGTCCCTGGGGTTGGATGAGCACTGGCATACAGAAAAGTTTTCATATTTGGAAGTTATTACTGATATTATAGATAAACCTGGGAAAAATAAATTAATCTATCTAAATCTCAGGTTTCTCCTGTGTAAAGTAAGGAAGAATAATACCACTTTTGCAGAATTTTCTTTCTGGTTCTTTAATATCATGCATGTAGAACATCTGTCTTCCTGAGTCTGTAATACTTAGTAAACATCATTTTAAGGGGTTGTTCAGAGTAATATTCTGGTTAAGTAAAGATGTAGTACCGTGTAGACTTAAGAGCACAGATAACCGAGTTTCTAACTCCAGCTGTTATTTACTACTCTTGTGACCTTGAGCAAGTTCTATAACCTCTCTGGGCTTGATCCTTATTTATAAAATGGAGATGATACGTTTCTTACCCATGGGAAGTGTGAGAATTAAAAAAACAAATAAATGAAATGCACTTGAAGTAGCACCTGATGCACAGTGAGTGTTGAGTATTATTTCCTATCATTATTCACTGAAAGAAGGTCCCCAAACCAACTTTTTAAACTTACACACATGTACTCATGCATTCACTCACTTGCACAAGAACACATCTACCTTGGCTGGTTGAAGCTGAACAGAAGCATGCAATAGTTCACTCAATATTGAATTTAGTCAAGAAATTAGTTATGAGCTATGTGTAGAGTTGACTCTAATAAGGTCAATTATTTTCCTTGTTATAGGGTTAATGAATATTATATTGAAGACACACCAATTTATGGTAACTTAGATGATATGACTTCAGGTAAGTTTTATTTTTCAATAAATTAAATGTATGAATTAAGTAAACCCCACTTAATTGACTAAGAATTATAAGTGGTGCTTTTTGTTTATCACAATCATCATTAAATAATCCAGTGGAAACCCTAAGATCAAGTATATGTAGTATATTCATTAGGCTATATTTCCAAGCTGCATATTGTAAATAGCATATCAACATCCTGTTTTTCTGTATTCTCTTCATTTCACTCTAATAGTAATGAGAATACAGGAAGACTCTATTACCATGAATTTTGACACACAAAATTCTATGAAATAAAGCTACATCTGGAACAGAAAATGGTCCATAGAAACCATTTTGTGTTCTGTATACAAAAGCAAATCTGCAAGAATAACCTAGAATAATATATACTTTCTCTTGTTTCTTGTATCTTAAGCAGAGAAACTAGGGCTGGATTGATGGCAGGTGGAAGAAGGAAGAGCCAAATTGTCACTGAGTGGCTTATACATTTTTGTTCTTAGGTAAAAAGTATCCTTCAACTACTGGCACCCCTCATTATTGTACCATACCCACAACCACCTAACAACAAAACACCCCTAAATTCCTCAAAACAGTCAACCTTGGTCTGATCCCAGTGTTCTGATGAGAAATACTGCAAGCACTCACTCAATTCATTGTAGGAGATTCAGGGGTTAATTCCTGTTGATCTTCAAGTAATGTACTAAAATTACCTAAAATTTCAGAAAGTGCAGAATCCTAAAGTTGGGAATGTAGGAATTTTATTTTATATGATTCAATAATTTAATGCGGTCTTTCCCTTCATTGTAAAGTGCCCTCTAATCTCTGTTCTTTAAGGAATCAGAAACTATTTTCCAGGAATATGTTATTAAAAATAATGTGCCCTCCTGTTTCACTTTGCAGAATTATGGTGCCCAACTTTAATATTTGAGTACTCAAATTCTTATGAATTCTGGTGGCTCCAAGCCCTCCACATCTGTAAATTCTATACCAAAGTGAGCCCAGTTGTCACTTGCACAGATTCTGATTTAGCAGGTCCAGGATAGGGCTTAGGAATCTGCTACTTAACAAACATTGTAAGTGAATCTAATGTGGATTTTCCACAGACCATGATTAGAGAAACTCCACTCTATATATCCTTTCTTCGTGTTGCTTTCAGAAAGGATTCAACGATGATTAGGTCCCTTTTGTTATAGTAAATAGATCTTTTCTTCCTCTCTGCGGTCAAATTGGTACAATTGACATTTCTGCCAGGTTATTGGTTATCCACTACCTTTCTTTACTCCTCTTTTTAAATGGGCATATCTGGGGGAAGAAAGGTACGAATGACTCAATACACATGTTCCCACATGATGAAATGAATAAGGGTCTGCTTGCTGTTGGACACTGTGCAAAAGTCCCAAATACTAGGTGCCAGCATTGTACAGTCCCAAGACCCTTAGGCAGCCTGGCTGAGATGTCTCATCACTGGTTGACAAAATAAAAGTTATAATCTAAACCGGTTTTCTCAAAAGTGAGATGCTGGGTTTAAAATACTTTTTAGTAAAACTTGTTACTCATGGAACAATTTACAAAATGGTGATCACTGGTGTATATGCAATGTGCTTTATGCTACTGTGTACCATTTGCAATTGTACCTAAATAGCAGAAAACAAAGACAATTCTTTAGTTTATGGGATCTCAATAACTTTTTTTTTTTGAGTTGGAGTTTCACTTTGTTTCCCAGGCTGGAGTGCAGTAGCACACTCACAGTCACTCCAACATTGGCCTGCTAGGCTCTGGAGATCCTTCGGCCTCAGCCTTCCAAGTAGCCAGCACTACTGGTGCTCACTACTACGCCCAGTTAATTTTTCATTTTATTGTAGAGACAAGGTTTCACCAAGTTGCCTGGGCTGGTCTTGAATCCGTAGCTTCAAGCAATCCATTCCCTCAGCCTCCCAAAGTGCTGGGATTATAAGGCTGGGCTACCGAGCCCGGCCTCTAAAGTATCTTAATGGTAACTTAAGACTTTCATGACACACAATGGTATAAAAAATTAATATGATCTAGTCCTCATGCCAAGGGCTTTTTTTTTTTGTCTTACCATTTTTTTTAAAGCAGAATTTATTGAGAGACAGAAAAGCTCCCACAGTGGGAGGGGACCCCAGAGGGCTGCCTTGTTTTATCATTAATGCTATGGTACAAAAGACTTTACCACCTGATTTGCAGGTAACAGATTGTGTCTCCTACCTCTTTGCATCACCACCAAAAAGACTAGTTAAGTGACTCTTGGGAGGTTTATATGGAGACCAAATGTTGTTTGGATCAAGTATTTTATTCATACCAGTATTTTTTACTTTTCCATTGTAAATCATAATCTTTTTTAACTCCCAAGAACCATTGGATGAAAATTGCTATGAACAAATGAAAGCCCAACCAGAGAGATCTGTAAATGAAATGCAAGAAGCTAGTTCATCTGCACAGGTGAGTTTTGTTTTCTGTATCAAGGGTCAATTTCAGTTTAGGGAGAAGCACATAATGCATGTTTCAAGGGTATAAGAGAAGTACATTTTGATAAACATCTGAAGTAGCCTGCTAGAAATTTTGCAGTCTAAATCAGGTGTCAAGTTCTGAGACAAAAGTTCTAAAGGTAAGGGGTAACTAAACCATACTCAAAGAGTCATAATTGTATATAATCACAAAGGCAATAGATTTGAAAGAAAAAATGTGGAATTATTCCTAAATAATCAATTAAGCTTTTTCTTTCAGATTGAAAAACTTATATGTATCACAGAGACAAATAAAAATATTGACAAGTATGACGTTCATAAGAGCTAGATGTCAGGAATTCATAAGATGGGGTGGAAGAAGGAAGAGAGAGACGTTTAGTAATAATATAAATTAGTTGAATATAAAACATTATACCCCTACTTCAACAAGGCAAGTGACTGTAAATTTTAATCCAAGTTCTATGGCTGTAGTCTAAGGGCAACAGATTGTGATATATACACACAGCTTATGTGGAGAGAGGTAGGACAAAAACCTAAGCAGAAACATAAAAACCTAAGAAGAAATGAATAGTTTCCCCTTTTCTTACTACAATCAGCTCAGCCTCCTCAGATTTAGCATTAACTTTATTAAAAGCCATTCAAAATTCTTAGCCTACATGCTCCTAAACTGCTATATACAGGAGGTACCCCCCAAAAGTATGCACATTTTAAGTATGACATTCGCTCAAAAGATGGAGTTAATCAAATGAATGCTAGCATCACCGTGTAACAGGTGGGACAGCCAAAGAAAGAGGCAGAAGCACCGTTGAGCGAACATCATACTACACATGGTTATAGTAATTTAATTCAACGTCAAAAAGTAATACATAGGTAACCGATTAAAACATGTATACATTTTTCTGGCACCCCCTGTATTTCAGTTAAAATGGTCCTTCTTCTTCTTGTAGATCTTGTTTCTTCAAGTATGCCCCTTCTCACTACTGCTTAGAAATAGTAATTGACCAGCATCTCCCCAATTATTATGTGTTAGGCCTTGCATTATGTGCTTTATATGCAATAGCTCCTTAGATTCCTATAAGGGAGGCAGCGATATCATTCTCATTTTGCAAATGCTTCCAAAGGATGAAAACCTTGCAGTACTTATGTTCTAAGTAGACATACCCAAACTTAGTTCTAACAGAAAACATTCTCTTCCCTAAAACGAGTCATTTTTGAAAACTTTCCAGTAAGATAACATTTTGCTCTTTTTCTTTGGTTGACTCCCCTAAGAAATCAGACTTTTGGAACCTTATTTTTTTTTGAGTTGGAGTCTCACTTCGCCCAGGCTGGAGTACAGTGTCAAGCTCATGGCCACCCAGTGTCGACCAGCTGGACTCCGGCAATCCTTCCACCTCAGACTTCCAAGTAGCCGGATCTACCAGCATGTGTTACCACGCCCAACTAAAATTATTTATTTATTTATTTATTGTAGAGAGGAGGGCTCACCAAGTTATCCCTTCTGGTCTCAAACCCACGTGTTTAGGAAATCCACTCGCCTCAGTCTCCCAAAGTGCTGGGATTACAGGCTGAGCCACCAAGCCCAGCTGGAAAATTTTTTAAGAAACAAAGATGTGGTAAGGTTTGGGAAAAATATAATCACCAAATTTATCATCTGATACTCAGATAATTATTAAAAAAATACTTGTAAAGTATTTATACGTATAAAGATACTTCTAAAAATTAGTCTTTATTCTATTATACTATTCTCATAAATTTAGCTTCACAAATTAGAAATAATTCTTTTTTTTTGCTCATTTGTATTTTTATTAGACTTATTATTATAACAAATGCTACCCAGTTTGCCACTACAATACTTAAACTTTGTTACTCTAGTAAATTACAAAAGCATAATCAATCTACATTATGCCTAACGTTTCATGGATAAAGTGTTTCTTTGTTGGCAAAAATATAAATAGGCTTCTTACCCTTTGAAAATTATATGTGCAGTTCAGAAATTATAATTTTAGTATCTCAAACTTCTATTAACTAGGAAGAATTAACCGAAAACCCTAATAACAAAATGCATTCACAAGAATTCCCTTATCCTAAAAATTATGAGGGATACAAGTGCCAGTTTGCGCCTCTTTTTCCCTCTTATGTCAGAGGCATCCTCTCTCCTTTCCAAAGTCAGTACTCTTATCTCATGCTCTTGATCATTTCCCCTAATTCTTTCGAGATCTTGCATCTTCAATTAATTTTCATTTGAAATTTCAAAAAATTATTTAATTTTTCTCTACTTTCCATTTTTTCTTTACATGAATCATTACTATTTGCCTACTAATATGTATAAATCTACCCAATATTTAAAAACAACAAAATGCTACTTCAACCTGTTTTGTCCTTTAATTTCTAAACGGGTTACCTTTCTCCATTGTTTCCATTTTTCTTTCCAGAAATACACACCCTATTGCCCCTGGCTATAAGTCTTCCACCCATGCACTCAACTGAAACAGCACTGTGGAAGTCTTAAGCATACAATTTGTGTTCATTTCCAGGATTCATTTTTAACTTTGCAGCCCTTGCTAAAGTTGACTAAGCATTGACCATATATGCATTATTTGGAATGCGTTCAGTTACAAATGCAGAAACCAAATTTAAAGCAAATTAAAAAAAAAAACAGTTTGGAGACATCATGTGGGATAAATGGCAGTGGGAAAAGACAGTGGGAAAAGAACATGGATCCAGCAGGCAGCTATTGTGTCCATTTCTTTCAAGAAATGATAAAAGATAAAAAGCCAGACAAAGAAACCAGGAAGATGGGAAATAGAGCCATCTCTTCTGCCTGGCAAAGAATATAGGGCCTTCCACTCTTAGCATGAAAATGAGTGCCAAGGGAGATGCTTACCCATGCATTAAGGATTTTATTATCCAAACACAACTTCCTCACCCCACAAATCAATATAATTTTGACCTAATCTTAAAGGTAAACCCTTAATAAAGAAATCTTTGATTTATTCAATGGCTGTCCCAAAGTTTTAGTCTACGACTTCTAATAATTACAATGCCACCTTACTTTTGGACGGTAGTTATAGCTTCCATATACATGATTTCTATTTACCAACCACAGAAACACTGAGATAGGTATTACTACTCTCATTTTATAGGCAAGCAAAATGAGATTTAGAATAGCTTTTTAAAAACTGCCCAGGGTCCTATGATCAGTATACGACAGAATTGGAATTCAGTCCTGGGCTTTCCAACACCCAATCCATGGTCTTGCCTTCAGCTTCCCTAGATATCCTAGTTTCCTGTCTTTTTTATCCTAGTATTAACCAGCACTAGTCCAGGAAAGATCACAAGACTCTCTTGGACGTGAATAGCTATCTCTAAGGCCAACCTACAACAAGCTCAAAGAGGATCTTGGGAGAGGCAGACAAGAAGAAAATAACAGGAAAATATAGAAAATTTAGGCTTGTTTTTTCTTTGCCAGACATACATCATATAAGTGAATATTGTTATCTTTATATTCCTGAATCTTGAAAATGTAGAAATATTGGGGACTTCTGTGGGCCAATTATTAAGTACATGTAAAGTAGACCTTGTGGTTTGGTATATTCCTTCCTATCATGCTTGTTCTCACTTTAAAAACTTGGTGTGTTGTTACTTGGTAAGAGCAACATAGGGCCAGAGCTACCTGACACGAAGGTGGAGGCAGAGTTAGGGGCAAATGAGACACAATCTAAAACATTCACATACATTTTGAGTATAAGAAAAAAATTAAAATCCAGGAAAAAGCTTCATCTAAGCTTTTTTTTCAACTCAATAGTCTTGAATGATTTTTTTTGTTGTTCTATCATCTTAACTGACAAATTTGACAAAATGAGGTAGCCAAAGCCCAGAAAACAAGTAGTATGTTTTTTATAGGCAATAGAAATTTCCAGAAGTCAAAGCTAAAGAACAAGTTAACAATGAAAAATTAATATACCTTTCTTTTAGGCAATTGCTGAAACACAGACGTGTTACGCCTCACTTGATCACAGCTTTAAGGGGAAGCGCAGAAAGCCCAAGAAACAGAAGAATCATTTGTCAAACAAGGATGAAAATGAGCAATTACATGCAATGGATGTCAATGTTTCTGAGACTGCTTTGGTAGACAGCTTTTCCCCGGAAACCCAGACGATAGAGGAAAACATACATGATGATCCCATCAGACTGTTTGGATTGATCCGTGCTAAGAGAGAACCTTTAAACTAGCTGGACTATGATTTAGCTCACTAATTTGACTCTTATTCAAGATGGTTGATAAGAAAACAGAGCTATACAGGACACAAAGGGCCTAGCAAGGTGATGATCTGATCATTTGTTGGTTTGGTGACTTGCCTCTCATTAAGAGCTTACATTCATGCACCAAATGTAATGCCGTGAACACCAGTTATTTCAACTTACTTTGAAAAAAATACTTAAGCAGTAAAATGTAAAATAAAATCTAGTTTGCAAATTGAGCCTGATAAAATTACAACTTCACAACAGTACCTAATACTCAGGGAAATTAAAAAAAAATTTAAGCATAAATGTGTTCTGGAACATGTTGAAAGAAAAATAAAAGCCAATGAGTTTTGTTTTTTGTTCTCACTAATGAGAAACACCCATAATTGGAAGAAATTTCTGATTGAAAAGTATAGGAGACATTAAAATACATTACTAAGAGAAATGGTATACTATTAGGGGATAGGTTTTTCAAATGAAAATAGTTTTGTTAGTTGAAAAATTATTGTAAAATTAATGCATGCTCCTTGCAACAATAAACAAATATCAAAAAGGGTTTAGAAATTTCACAGCCAGAAATAATCACATGAGAAACTTTCTATATATTCTTTTAGATATTGTCAGTTGTTTCTTTTTTAATACAAAAATAGAGGAGAGGATTTTTTTGTTGTTGTTGTTGGAGTCTCACTCTGTCACCCAGGCTGGAGTGCAGTGGCACATTCACAGCCACCCCAGCATTGACCAGCTGGGCATCAGCGGATCCTTCCGCTTCAGTCTTCCAAGTAACCAGAACTACAGGTATGTGTTACCACGCCTGGCTAATTTTTGATTTATTGTAGAGACAAGGTCTCATCAAATCGCCTGGGCTGGTCTCAAACCCGCGGACTCAGGCAATCCACTCGCCTTGGTCTCCCAAAATGCTGGAATTACAGGTTGAGCCGCTGAACCCAGCCAAGAGGATTATTTTATGCTTATTATTTAAACTTTCTTCACTTATCAATGTATGGTGGATTTATTTCCACTTATATTTATCTATATCTAAATACATTTTTATGCCATAATTTTAATATCTGCATAATGCCACATTAATGACTACATCAAAATTTATTTAAATAATTTTGAATAACTTTTTAAATCATTTTTCATTGATGCATAAAATGTATATAGTTTTGGGGTACATGTGATCCTTTTAATACAGTCTTATAATTTGTAAAGATTAACTCAGTGTATGTGGAATATCCATCACCTTAAACATTTGTATTTTCCTTATGCTACAAATATTCAAGTTATTCTCTTTTCACCTTTTTGAAATGAACAATAGATTCTTGTAAACTATAGTCACCCTACTTATGAATCAAACACTAGGTCTTACTGCTATCAAATTGCTTACTTGTGTCCGTTAATCACCTTCTATTCATCCTTTCCTTCTGGCTACCCTTCCCAGATCCTGGTAACCATTAATCTACTCTCAATTTTCACAAGGTTCATTTTTTTAGCTTCCACATATGAGTAAGAACATGAAATTTTTGTCTTCTGTGCCTGACTTATTTCAATTAACATAATGACTTCCAGTTCCATCGATGTTGCTGGAAATGACAGGATTTTTAAAATTATTAGTATTTAATAATATTTCATTGTTTATACATACATTTTATTCACTCATCCATTCATGGACACTTAGGAGGATTCCATATTTTGGCTATTGTGAATAGTGCTGCAATAAACATGGGGGGAAAATTTTTAAGATTGAGTTGACAACGTTCTTTCAGTAATTTAAAGACACTGATCAACTGTCTTCTCATTTGCATTGTTTCTAATGAAAAATCAACTGTAATACTCATCTTTGTCCCTGTATATGTTATATATGACTTTTCTCTGTTTTAAGTTTTATCTTAGGGCAACCCCTTCCGGTCCTCTCCCACTGTGGGAGCTTCTCTGTCCTCTCAATAAATCCTGCTTTCTCACAAAAAGAAACACGAAAAAAGATTTCTCTTATCTCTGTTCTTAATTAGAACATAATATGCCAAAGTATCGTTTTTTTCATGTGTCTTGAGTTTGAAATTTATGGAGCTTCTAGAATCTGTGTATTTATAGTTTTCATCAAGTTTGGGGGGGAAATGATGAATATTTTTTCTATACCTCCTGCTTTTTTCAAGCTTTTCAGTTACCTGCAAATTATCCTCCATTTTACTGATGTTTGTCTTTTTAAAATTTCATTTTGATTTGTTTTTCTTGCTACGCCTTCAAGTTCACAAATCTTTTCAAATGTCCAATCTGCCAACATTCTAGATAAGATATTTTTCGTCTCATAATTTAGTTTTTATATTTCCATAAATTCAGTTTGAGTCTTTTGACTTCCATCTTTCATGTCTCTATCAAACATACTTTTTTCCTCTTACTTCTTGAGCCTATGGAATACAGTTATAACAACTGTTAATTTTTCTATGTACTAATTCAATCATCTCTGTCATTCTGAGTGAGTTTCAACAGATTGATTTTTCTCATTTGTTGTATTTTTCTGCTTCTTTAAATGTCTGATAACTTTTTTATTGAGAAAATATTGTGAATTTTCCTTTGTTTGGTGATAAATATTTTTGTATTCCTATAAATATTTTTGAACTTTGTAACTGAAAAGTATCAAGTTATTTGGACACAATTTGATCTTTCAGAATTTTGCTTTTAAACTTTGGTAGATGGGACCATCTTTCAGATTAAGTTAAATTTACTACTGAGGCAAGACCCATTCTGGGAAAAAATATCAATGCCCGTGAATTATGTGATTTTCCACTCTGGCTGTTGAAGACGCTATTTTCAGCATATGTGAGCTATGGGCACTGTTCTCTCTATTCTTTTCAGCTGGGTCTTTCCCCAGATTTGGGTCATTTTCTCATTTGCATGCACTAACCAGTATTCCACTGAACTCAAGGAGTTTTCTCTATATGCAGCTTTCTCCTCTCCAGTACTCTGCCGTTTTTACTTTTTTGACCTATAGCTCCATCTGCTAAGTTCAGGAGATAAGTTATATACGTAGACTCCCTCTACCCATTCCAGGGCCTGAAAATTTTCTCCAGACAGTATGATAGAGCAATAGGAAGATTTACCTCATTTATTTTCCATTTTTCAGGGATCATTGTCCCTCATTGCCTGAATTTCAATGTCTCAAGTGACATTACTATATATATTTTGTCTGGATTTTAATTGTTTCAGCTGGGGGATTATATTCAAGTGGGAGGGTAAGTCCAAGATGTTATTCTATCTTGATCAGAAGCAGAAGTCCAAGGCATTCCTACCACTTTAGTAGAATTCTTTAATATATCCTTAGTATAATTTGGTATAAATCCACAAGCTAACTTGTACTCTATGAAATGTTAATAAGTTATGAATCACTGACCATTGTGTAATTATAGAAATATATATTTTCACATGTGGCAGTTCTCAAGGCTTATGTTCCAGAAGGAGTACAGGTTAATTATCACTTTTTCGAAGTGCTTGGGACCAGAAGTGTTTCAGACTTTGAATTTTAGAACATTTGCATATAGATAACAATATCTTTGGGATAGAATCTAAGTCTAAGCACAAAATTCATATATGTTTATATGCACCTTATACATATAGCCTGAAAGGAGTTTATGTCATATTTTCAAATAGTTTTGTGCACCCGTCACATGAAAGCAGGTATGAAATTTTCCACTTGCAGCATCATGGAGCTCAAAAAGTTTTACATTTTGAAGCATTTCGGATTTGGAGTTTTCAGATTTGTGATGTTCACCTTGTATTATTATAAATGCTTACATTTTAACGGAAAAAAATGTACAGAAGAAAATATAAAGAAAATTTGTGACTAGAAAACAGATGAATTTCAAAATCTAGAGATTTTCACTGACCATGTCTTAGAGTTCAAAATAGTTGAACTCAAATCTCAAGAACAGGAACAATAGCTCATTTCTCTTTGGTATTAAATGGCTTATTTTTGGCAAGGTAAGTGGAGGATGATTAGTTTGGACATATGCTTTAAATCTCTCTGAAGTTTTGCCTTCATTTGCTTATGAGAACAATTTATATGAAGACAGAAAAACAGAACATCAAAATTGAGAGAAAGGAACAAAATAGCATATAAATTCAATAGAGGTGCACTCCTAAATGCTGTTCACCATTCCTTTAACCTCTTCTGAGGGAAATTACATTCACTCACAACTCCTACTACCCAGAAATTCATGGCTGACTGCATCAAGGGAAGGTGTCTGAATCAAGACATTAGATAAATAATCATTTTTTTTTGCATTTCAATAAAACTCTATTTACAAAAACAAGTAGGCCAGGTGTAGTCCAAGGGCCATAGTTTGCTGCCTCCTGCCAAGAGCATTTTTTTCATTAAGTGTCTTGTAAAATGCTGGTAGTCTAATCTTGTTATTCCTTCTTCATGGATTAGTTACAATACATTATAAGGAGAGACAGTAGATTCATCTTCTGAGCTAATCTATATGCAAAAGATTGGAAAGATCACTATCATAGAGGGTAGAGCCAAAAGAATACTACTGATAGAATTGGCTATTGGGAAGCAGAGTAAAATTACAAGGGGCAGAAACTAAGAGTAAGCACAAGAAGATGGTAGAGACAGGAGTTCAAGACTCCATTACTAATCAGATTAGTTAGATAACAATCATTACAATGACAAGTAATATTTATTAAGTACTTGCTAGTGCAAGATACTGTGATAAGTGCTTGCCTGCATACCTAATTTAATCAGATAATACCCTAAAAGGTAGATGCTATTATAATCCTAATCTTACAGACAAAGAAACCAAGACTGATAAAGATTAACTTGCCTAATGTCTCATAAATAACTGCAGATTCAGGATTTGAACACAGATAAAAGTCTAAGTCTAAGCCTATTCTAGGACTAGCTCTGTATAGTAGCTGATCTCTAAAGCTGTTTCCAAGCACTCTGAGGCCCTGTTTTTGAATTATCCCTATATCATACCTATTTAATTATACTAACCTCACTCTTTAAGTGCGCTGCCTGAGGTTCTATTATTTAAGATCAAAATAGGCTAACTAAAACAGGCTGAAAAAAATCTTAAAAGTAATAATTTGTGGTAGTTTTTACAAAGAATCCCTCTAGTTTAGGAAGAATCCAACTATAAGTCCACTTAAACAATAGTCTGTTGCTTTCAATAAACATTAAGACTTACATCTACCACATTATTTTCATATTAAAAT